CGCATAGTTGACTTCAAGAGAGCAACAGAAAATGCCGTGAAAGCATAAATCATTTTAGCTTGGCCTTACGTAGGTGCCTTTTTGTTAGATTTTTCAGTTTTTTATTTTTATTTATTTATTTAAGGATTGATGGGAAGTAGGACTTTTTTGTTAAAAAAACAAAATAGTGGAGCTTGCAATCCTCCGCTTTGTATAAGGTAGGTGGTAAGTTGATGGTCACTTTCACTTATATATAAAAATTGTAAAAATTATCAAATGTAAAATTATTTATGTATTTTTACTCAATAACTTAACTTATTTTTTAAAAATAATTGATTTATGAGGTATCACAGATTTAATCCTTGTTATTCACATTTTAAATAAAATGAAGTTTTTTTTTTTTAGTAAAATTTATGTAGGATTAAACACCAGTATTCCGCACAGCCTCTTTGAGCACAATGTAAGTCTTTTTAAGATAATTAGTTTATAATAAAACTATTAATATAATTTCAGAAAAAAAGAATATGAGTATTGAAAATTTATTAAGTCACTAAAACAATTCAATTATGAGGATTAGGAAATAATATATGGGTATTGTAGTTATAAATCTACTTCCTCCTGCTAGCTGCTTGGAACACGAAATGGGGGCTAAGGAGAGTGGATACCTCGTCAACAAGACAAGATATATAGAAGCAAACACATTTGCCCGACTTTACCTGAATAAAAATTATAGAATAAAAGTACCCCAGTTTATTTTACTAGAAAATGAAAATAAAATAAAATAATACCTTAGTTTATTGTACAACAAGCTACCCATACTCATTTAATTGTTCATGGAATGAATAATTGTTGAACCTACCCCATTAACTAAAATTGTCAAAGCCGTTTCATGGTTACTTAACTTCCGGTTCTTTAAAATTCTTCTATTTTTTTTACTAGAACTGTTTGTTTGTTTGCTTCTTCTTCTTTTTTTTTTTGTGTGGGGTAAATCTTCACCTAGCCTTTATGTTTAAACTTCATCTTCCTGCAATTTAGGGGTGGAAAAACATATTAGCCGATCAGATTCGTGTCAGATCAAGGAGGTCTGACATATTTATAGGTCAAATTATCCAATTCGAACACAATACATTTTTGTTTATGGGTCAAAAATTGAAATATGGACATGATCGGTTACGAATCATGGATCATACGAGTTGATTAAAAATTTGATTTCATTTAAAATAAATAGAAGGAAAAAACTAAATAAAATACACGGAAAAATCATCAATATTTCAATTTTTGTAATTTTTTTTGAATAAAAAATTTGCAAGTTAAAACACGTGTCACATGGGTTAAATATTTTTGATTTATGAGCTCTCTCGTGTACTTATGGATGAAATATTTTTGATGTAAGGGGTGCTAAAAAAGTCAGGGGTCTTTGCTTCAGCTCGTGAAGGCCTGAGTTTTTATGTCTAAAATTGATTGTTGGAATCAGGCTTAGACTTGTATAAAAGCTCGTTTAATAAAAAAGTCTCAGGCTCCAATTTAAAAGCTCGGCCTTAGAGCCTCTCAGGCTGACATAATATATTAATTTTTATTTTTATTTTATATTTTTTATACTACTTGTGATACCCTCTCTTTCCTCAATCCATTTCATCCCATTTTATTAATTAAACAAACTTTTTGAATGATTTTGCTTTATATTATGCTGTTTGGATATACATTAAATTTATGAATATTTATGAAATTACTAATGTTGTTGACTGTATATTTTGTTTGGATAAATTTTTGTTGTCTTATTTTGTTTTAAACAGACTAAACCAGACTTTTGTTTTTTATAAATAAGACAGGCCACAGGCTGAAATTATATTCAGAACAAATAACAGGCTTGGTCTGGCTGACACATTTAAACACAGGCTCAGCCTTTTAAGACCAAAGCTCGGCTCGGCTCGGCCCGTTAACACCCCTATAAGCAGATCAACGTGCACAATAAAATAGTAGCGTAACCAAGATGTGATGTGTGGGCATAATGACATATAATGGAGACACTGGCAGACCCAGGTTGGGTCACATGTCCGCAAGTGAGGACATAAAACTGGTGATTTTAGTTTTTTTTTTATAGGTTTTTATTTGTATCTTGGTTCAATATTTATATTAGGAGTAAATATCCTTTTAATTCCTTAACAAAAAATACAACCCCCACTTTAGTCCCTTATAAAGAAAAATTAGTCTTGAGGTTACTAAAAAATTCAAAGTAGATCAATTTAGTTAAAATCGTGATTCTCACAAATTCAAAAAAGACCCATATTAGTCGCTTAAAAGGATTAAAATGTGTCCACTTTGAATTTCATAGGGACCATGTCACTAATTTTTTTTGTAAAGGATTAAAGTGGGGACCGAATTTTTTGTTAGAAACCAAAAAAAGTATTTACTCTTATATTAGTTAGCAATGTAGCAACGTACAAAGATGATTAAAACAACGTAGCAACGCAAATTGATTTAGGGGGAAAATGTCTGGTCAAACTATTGACTGCAACTTGTTATGGAAGCAACTAGATTATGAGCGAGTTCATAACTTTATACATAAAACGTTAATCTTAACTGTCTTTAAAAAAATATTCAGGGGCAACTAAATGTGCGGACATAAATTTTTTTTTCTGGGTCCATCACTGAATGAAGAGTGTGTACATATATAAGTTTTATCTTTTATTTATAAAATTTCCTGTGAAATTTTGGATCTCTAGTAATTTTGGGAGGTCCAATATTTAATCTATTCTTATCATATTAAGATTAATATAATTAAGAAATCTTTTCTTAATATCATCCTTAATTTTTATTTTTTTTGACCTTATCTGAGGACCTAATTCAACTCACAAATCATAACACGTGTTGCCACGCTTCCCACAATTTTTTGCGTACATCACTCAAATATTCAGTATGGGTTGGTTGTTGATTTTGAATATCAGCACATATTTTGAGAAGAAAAAAAAAATAGAGTGGAGAAAAGAATTTGCATAGTTGACCCTTGGACCCAACAGTGGCCCACAAGCATGTGCACCATGTGTATGTCAGCCATGTTTTGTGTTAAAGTAAATCCACGTCTCAACCTTTGCTATGTAATGCCAATATAGGTTTCAGCAATAGTTAAATAAGTGCATAACAATTAACACCTAGCAACTATAATGCAATCGACACTGGACATGAGATATGATACAATATGTCGACATGTTAATTTTAAAAAATATTATATTTTGACACAGTGAGACATGTTTTGATATTAAATAATATTTTTAATATATAAAATATAATTTATATTTAATACATATAAGAGTCCATAATAAGTCATATAACTAATCAAATATTTAAATTTCATAATATAAATAAAAAAAATTTCGTACTTTGTTAATTTTTCATGTCAAATTTCATAATAGAAAAAAATTAATTTATAAATTATGTTGTTATATTTAGTTAATAAAATAAAATTAAGAATAAAAAAAATGTGTCGGAGCGTTGATCGCGTGTCGGAAAAAATTGAATGCGTGTCGAAAAAACGTGTCGAAACGTGTCAAAGAGTTAACTATATGCCTCAAATGTTGACTGCGTATTAGACGAGTGTCAGAACGTATCTGTGTCAGACACGTATCCGACAAGCAAATTTTTCAAAAAAATCTATGTCCATGCTTGTTAGGTTAGCAATATACACAATGTGATTGATGTTTGTGGGCGATAAAATTATTTTTTATGTATATAAAAATATATGAAATTTATATAGAATTATACGAGCAGATTTTTCTTTGGTGTTATGGGAATACCATATTGGTACTCCTATTTTTTAAAAGTAAAATTTTTATTTCCATTTAAACGAATATCTTTATCTTTATTTTTATTTAAATCTCAACTTCTTACCTTTTTTAGAAGGATGTATGATATTATAGGAATATCAAAGAATTTTTTCATATGAGGAGAAAAAAGAAAAAAAAATATGGATTCCATATATATATATATATATAAAATAAAATTATTTCTACAAAACAATAATTCCATACATAATACATGTTACTGTTTTGTGATTACAACATTATGAATTTTGAATGGAAAAAATGGAGTAGTCTTATGTGTGTTGCGTTATTTGTCTTCTTCCTTCGGTACCAAAACCCACGTGGGTAGCCTCAACTGGTGAATAATACTGCACAAAATTTGGTAATCAAAAATAGTCTTTGATAGAATTTCCACCACTGATTATGAGACAATAGTTCTGATACGATTGGTTGTGCCAAGTGATCACAACTGGAGAAAAATAATTTATACATTAATAAGTAATAACAATTTTGGAATTGGAACAATCCTTAGCAGAAGTCCAGATCAGGTTAAGACATATAATTGGGTCAAGTTGAATGTGACATACTAACAAGCTTACGATATAAAATTTTGATATTTTGAGGGGACATTGATGCAGTATGCTAAGTTAACTAATAATTATATAAAAAATTTAATTATACACATCACCAAGAGAAAAGAAAGACCCAATTGAAAGGTAAAATACAAGGTTGAGATTTATGGGTCTTATTCTATCTGAGGACCCAGCTGGCCACCCCACAAATCAATTATAAATCAGAGGGATCATTATGGAGCATTCATGCAAAATTCATGGTTGAAAAAACAAAGGACCTACCACTTACAGGAACTCAAAGAGGAGTTGTTCATAAAAGGAGAACAAACTGTGCTAACACATGTAAAAATAGAAGAGATGGAAAGTTATGTAACATTTGTAGAATATAGACACCAGAAAAGACCAGTGGTAAGTACCATTAATCTATAAAATTAAGATAAATCATGTTATTCAATTCCCACATGGGAAACAAACCACTGTTCCTTATGCATGCTTTTTTTATTCTCCTTTTTTTCTCCTTTTCTTTTAATTTCTTTTTTTCTTTTTCTTTCTTCTTTACATAAATCCCATTTCTCTTTTGTAGAATCACAAGCCAAACAGCTCTATCTATTTTTGTGCACCCTCCATTCATTCTTTCTCAAACTCCCTACCTACCATGGGAAAACATATCAACATGGAAAATGATGCTCAGGACAATTCCTTTGCAACAATATCCTCCACTTCCACAACCATTCCCACCAACTTTACTGACACCAAAACTTCTACAACATCCTCCTCCTCCTCCTCCTCCTCAACAACAACATCATCTTCTACTTCAAATTCTAATTCATCAACCAAGCAAGACTCAAAAACTCCTTCAAATGATTCAAATTCAAGCACAAAGAAGAGGCAGAGAAGTGAAAGTGAAAGTAGCAAGCACCCAACATATAGAGGAGTAAGAATGAGAAGTTGGGGCAAATGGGTGTCTGAGATTAGAGAGCCAAGAAAGAAATCAAGAATATGGCTTGGAACATACTCTACTTCAGAAATGGCAGCAAGAGCACATGATGTAGCTGCCTTAGCTATCAAAGGCAATTCAGCATACCTCAATTTCCCCGAATTGGCTAAAGATCTTCCAAGGCCAAATAGCACATCTCCTAAGGATATTCAAATTGCAGCTGCAAAAGCAGCAAACACTGCTTTTGAAGATGTTAAGCAATGTCAAGCTGAAGCAGAACCAAGCCAAACAGAACAAGCTTCTTCTTATTCAACTCTATCCATTGACAATACTCAAGAGTCTTCAAATTCTCCTTCTACCAAAGATGATGACACATTGTTTGACTTACCAGATCTTTTCCCTGATGAAAACCATGGACTTCGCTCCTACAACTCTTCTTCTTGGCATTTATGTGCTGTTAATAGTGGATTCCGCCTTGAGGAGCCATCTTTTTGGGAGAACTACTAGAGGTTGTTTCATTGTAAAAACAATATTAAATAAGAACAAAAAAAAAAGTAACATTCAAGAGTTTAGCTTCTTATTTAGTCACTGCATTCTGCAATTTGCACAGAGAAGACCAGTTAAGGTACAGTTTCCATTTTTATCTGTAAATGGCTGTGTCTATTGCTATTTTATTTTTATTTTTTGTCTTTTTTGGTGAATAAAGGTTTAGGGTCAGCAAGACTATCTATTCCATATCGCACCAAGTCTCTCTACTACCATGAAATGCATTACTTGGGAAAATTGGAGCACATACTTCTTCTACTTTCAATTGAAAATATTAGACTGTGTAACATTATGACGTTTTGGGTTGAAATAGATTTTATATCATCAGAGCTAATGATTGATTGATCCTTGTGAACTCAAAATTTAAAAATGGTAGTTAGTGTCCGAATTTGTAAGGTTTGCAAACCTATATAATTTAAGAATTTGATGAATGTAGTGAAGCCTTTTATGTAATTTCAAATAGCTTCCGCGATAGGGGAGCGAATAGAGACTTGGAATTCGCATATGAAAAGAGAATATTGAGAACTAATTATGAGTAGTGAAATCTCACGTTGGTTAGAAATAGGCGAAGTGAAGATCATATAAGAAAAAGAATCCATGAATTTAATGTCTTACCTTTATGGAATTATCATATTGTGTTGGAAGATAAATACTTTTTCTCTTTAATTATGTTTTCGATATTATCATAGATATCCTTATTAACGTAGATTATAGAGAATTACTCTCTGTTTTTACTTTTTACCCTTCCTAATTAGGTACTTACCAATCTAATCAATTGTACTATGACACGTTACATAAAAATTAAATCTGTGTTATCAAAAAAAAAAATATATATTAAATCTGTTATTTAATTAACTTAAAAGTAGAAAGTATATATATATATATATATATATATATATATATATATATAAAAATAAATAAAAGAATGTTATACTTACAACTTTTTTTTTTACAACTTCTTACAATCATATCTTAACACCGTTGATTTTCGTCAATCAACGGTTATCATTTATTGTGAATTAATAATTAATTAAAGAGTTTAATTTGCGAAAATCATAACCATTGATTGGCGAAAATCAACTGTGTTAAGATATGGTTGTAAGAGATTGTAAAAAGAAAAGTTGTAAGTATAACGTTCCTCTATATATATTTATAGGAGAAAGATCTGTTTACAAACTTTTTTTTACAAATTACACTAAATATGACCGGTCATACACTTTTGATTGAAGTATGACCGGTCATATACTTAATGTAGTTTGTAAGAGTTTGTAAACAAAAAGTTTATAAATATAACATTCCTCATATATATATAGGATTAAGTGGATGTCGTATCACTTGACATAAGGTTTTCTCCAGTCACACATTTTTTAACTATGTACTACGAGTAGTATATAATTATAATATTAAAGTTATTTTTTAACTATATATTACGGGTCATATATAGTTATAATATTAAATAATATATTGCAAAATGACACTAATAACATAATTATGTATTATCCGTAATACATAGTTAAAAAATACGTGACTGAACAAAATCTTATATCCAGTCACATGACAAATCATTTTTCCACACACACACATGGGTAGGATTCTTTGACACATGTGTCAAACTTTGAAATTTAACACCAAATCTTAATTATTAATTTCTGTCATTCAACGGTTATCATTTACTGGGAATCAAACTTATTAATTAATTATTATTTCTCAATAAATGATAATCGTTGATTGACGAAAATCAACGGGTTAGGATTTGGAGTTAAAATTTAATGTTTGACACTGGTATCAAACAATCCTGCCCATATATATATATATATATATATATATATATATATATATATATATATATATATATGAGATAGGATCATTTGACACCAGTGTCAAATTTTAAATTTGACACCTCATCTGAGAGCAATTAGATCATAAAAGATCAACGACTCTGATTCGTAAGCATGTGACACCATTGATTTTTTGTGATCTAATGGCTCTCAACTGAGGTGTCAAAATTCAAATTTGACACTGATGTCAAATGATCCTACCTCTATATATATATATATATGTTCAATTGGCAACACAAGTTGAGTAGATAGGGAGAGAATTTAAGTTTGATTCCTCGCAAATATATATTTAGGAAGGCGCAAAAAACTTTAACTGTGACTAAATTCTGACTCAGAATTAATCTTATAGTTGAGCTTTGTAGGGTTGGTATACCAAAAAAAAATCTCTTTTTTTTCACCGAAATTTATTAATAGTAATGCTATTTTTTAATTGTTAGCCAGCACACCATGTCAGCTTAAATATGATAAGTGATTTGATTGTTTGCGCTGGACTTATTAGAATAATTACTTGACAAGATAAGAATTTACTATGTTTAGCTTAAGTATGAGAAGTGATTTGATTGTTTGTGCTGGACTCTATCAGAGTAGTTAATTAACAAGATGACATCAACTGCACATAAACATATTAATTTAATGTGTTTTGTTAAGTCATATGTTTATGTCCACCTAAAAGCATGAATATTTTTACTATGAAAGAGAAAAATTATTACAAAGATAATCATGTTGTTACCTAACTCGTACTTAACTCAAAACTCCTTGTACACCCACTTTCGTAATCCTAAAAACTCCTATGTCATGTGTGCTTTCTATCTTAATTATAACACACCTGAGTTATTGGTTCTATTTATGTAATTTTTCTTAGTCTTTCAAACTACTTAATTATATAATTACAAATTTAAATTAGTTTTATTTTGATTATTTTTACTTAAATAAAAAATGATTTATAATAAAAGATAAATATCCCTGCTCTTTAATCCGTTTTTCTTTTTAAATTTTTTTCATTTATCAGAATAAAAATTGTACTTTTAAATAACCATTAGCTATTTTTTTTCTAAAAGCAAAAGTTGATTTATGAAAGCGTTTATTACGTAAGCATGATTCCCACTTCCCAGTACATAAAGTTTTTATTCATCTATACAATTGAGCAAGATGTCTATATCTGATACATGAGCATGAGATGATTATGACTAGAGGCGATAAATGAATCACGAGTTTTTAGGGGTCTTTGGCTCGATTTGTGAAAGTCTGAGTTTACATGCTTAATATTGGTTGTTGAAACTAGACTTGGACTTATATAAAATGTCGTTTAATAAAAATGCATCAGACTCCAATTCAAAAGCTCGGTCTTAGAGCCTATCAGGCTAGCCTAGTATATTAGTTTTTGTTTTTATTTTTATTTTTTATACTATTTATAATAGCTTTCTCTCTCTCTCCTCATTCCATTTCATTCCATTTTATTGGTTAAACAATTTTTTTTAATGATTTTGTTCTATATTATATTATTTGGATATATATTGAATTTATGAATATTTAGAGAATTACTAGTCATGTTGATTGTATATTTTGTTTGCATAAATTTTTGTTATTTTATTTTTTTTAAACAGATTAAGTCAAGTTTTTCTTTTTTTGTAAATAACTCAAGCCACATGCCGATAATTATATTCATAACAGGTAATATATTTGATCAGGCTAACACATTTAAACATAGCTTTGTCTTTTAAGATGAAAGTTCGACTCGGCCCGTTAACATCCCTAATTATGGGCATGTAATAGCGTTAAAAGAAAAATCCATTTAATAGTATTATTATCATATGATGCTATTACAAATTTTTGAAAAATATAAATTAATCAAACAGGTCAACATCGAACTTAACATATTTTCAGAAGTTACCAATTTTATTCTTTGACAAAAATACCCAATCATCTTTTGTTTACTCTTATCTTGCCGTTCATCTTGCCACCAAACGCGTAACGAATCATGCCAATTGGGGGCGATATTTATTTTTTGAATGAATAACTTAATTTACGGTAAGGAATTGAATTTTTTATCATGAGATTTTCACATAATGAAGTTATATTTAAAAATTAAGTAAACGAGATCTTATTAATTTATGAATATTTATAAAAACAATTAAATATTAAATTTTCAAATAAAAAACATCTTACGAAAAATCTAACATGAAAAGATGTATTCTGGGTGTTTAATATATTATTCTTGTTTAAATTTTCTTATGTTTTAAATGTTTTTATTTAACACCTGATTTTTTCTTCAGTGCCATACCTAACCAGTATTGGAATATATTTCTACTTTAATATATTTTCAATATCGAAACTTTTTAAATACAGTAAACGTTTGGACTAATGTAACTGTGCCAAACTAGTTCTTCAAAAACGTTGCACGTAATTTAATTTAGATCCCCTTTGATAATGGATTGATGTATTTGACCCCCCTGTTTTTTTTTTTTTTTTTTTGACTTAAAGCTAGAAAACCTATGCTCTTTCCATTATTCTCCCTCTTTTTTCTTTTTAATTTTTGGTTGGAAAGATATGCTATGATACATTAAATAATCATGCCTTTACCAATTTGCTTATAAATTAATCTTTCAAACAATATCTTGTGCTAATATTAATTCCTAGAAGGATCCAGATCGAATAATTTTTTGCTTTTAAGCATCCCATTTTGCATCATGATTAATCATAAGAAAATTTATCGTATTCTCAATCTGTATAGACACACATGTAGGCACCCAAAGAAGGCGACAACATCATCTAACCAGAGAAAATATATATAAAGAAAGTGTAAATTAGCATAGCAAAAGGGCACTGTTTTCGTATTAGAATTATTCAAACCACTAAACAGGAAGTGCTAAATGACCTCACCATGAGAAAAGAGGAGAGAAAGAATTGAACACGACAATAGAATAAATAATTGAAAAGAGTAAGAGAAAAAAGGAAGCAGACCTCACTATCATATGTTCTTTATCCCCTGTTACACTATGCAATAAATAATTGAATAGTGGCCAATATTTATATATTTTGAAGACCGAATATTTTATAAGAAAAGTGTTTATCATTTTAAATGACACAACGTATATCCTTTCACTCTCACAAAGAGGTGGGACT